AAGAAGGAGATTTTGGTAAGGTAAGACTGGCGAACTATGAGGTTCTTGATGTGACGAGCATAGGTGACTTAGATTTGAAGACTCCAGTTGGTCCATGGACTTTGAAGGATGTCCGGGTAATTCCAAGTCTGAAGAAACAGTTGATTTCTGTTGGGCAGTTGGATGAACAGGGACACGAGGTTAAGTTCAGGAATGGGCAGTGGAAGGTTGTCAAAGGAAATCTTGTGATAGCTCGTGGACATAAGAGGGGTTCATTATATATGGTCAGTTTACCGTCTGAGGGAGTAACCGTCCCAGTTCAGAAGAAAAACAAAATCCGGTTCATAGAGTCTCGTGGACAGAAGAAGGTTTGCTTTGCAGATGGCAAACCCAGAGTCACAGGTCAGATTCAGGTTGAACGTGTTTGGAACGGTTCAGAAAAACCAGTCAAGGGCATTCATAGCAGTGGGAGCATGGGCTTTGTTTCAGCTAGAATACCCAGAACACAGTGGGTTAAGAGAACCAGTATTCCATCTGTAAAAGTCTCTCCAGATTATCTGCTTCACATGGAGAGTGTCGTTTGTTCTCAGGATGTTCCAGGATCGGGCAGTTCATTTCAGTGGGAGCCGATGGAGACAGAGAACAGGTCAGTGGCAGACTTAGCCATGACTGATGTGTTGGAGCTAACGAAAGCTTCAACTGGCCTTCAGGTTAATTGAAGAGAAGGCCAGGGTAACTAGGAAGGAGTTAAGATCAAATACAGATGCACAGTTGAAGCACAGGTGAAGATTGTTCCGTGGCTTCAAGTGGGAGATTGTTGAGTATGAATCCACAGAAAATGTTGAGTGTGAATCCACAGAAATGTTGAGTGTGAATCCACAGAAAAGCTGGTCAAAAATGGCAGGAACAATGTGAAGTTGTGAAGCCACAATTGTTGAATGAAGACCCAGTTGTGTTTTTTGACTACTTCTGATTTCCATCTCTATATAAGAGATTATTCTGTATTTGTAAAACTTGTATCTAGTGTAACACAGAAAGAGTGCAGATTAGCACCAAGAAATGTAAATTCCTAGTTACCGGTGGACGTAGGTCAGAGAAGGACCGAACCACGTTAAATCCCTCATGTTCATCCTTGTGTTCTTGTTTTTCGTGAGCTGTGTGTGTGTTTAGAGTCGTGTGTTAAGTGTCTCGATCCTAACAAATCTAGTCTCCAATTCCTTATTTGCTTGCAAAAAGCTGGAAGATAATGGCTCTAGGGACCTCTCATGGTCCAGATCTGTTGTTATTCATACCAAGGGGACCTCATGCTCACTAGATCTCATAAAGTTATAAGGGAAAACCCTAAAACTATGAAATCTACCATATGAACGTGAAATGGGAAGAATCATACCTCCAAAGACAATATCTCAAGATGATTAGCTCCAATCCAAGCTCCCTTCTCGTTCTAGATGGATCATCTCTTCTTTCTCTAGCAAAATCACCCCAAAATCGAGATTATAAGCCCTTTCTTGCACTCAAGCCGTTCTCACTCTCTCTAGGGTTTCTCTGGAACAAGGTGGCCGCAAATGACGGCCATAAGGGTCCTTAAATAGGTCCCAAACCCGAGAAATTAGGGTTTCATTAAACAGCGTGGACTCGCCGAGTCCACGTATGGACTCTCCGAGTCCGTCATTAAATCAGATCAAAACATCGCGATCCCACTCGGCGAGTCTGGGCTCCTACTCGCCGAGTCCCCCTCTAAAATTCAATATAAAATACTTAAAATAAGATACCTGGGAATCCGGATGTTACAGATGATCTATGGATAGTTTCACGACGACATCTAATACTTTTTTTTGCTTGATACTGAATTAATGTCATAATAAACCTTTTTCATTTACTTATGGCTAATTATTAGTTTCTACTTTCTAATCAGTAAATTTTTCTATTTTTATATTTATGAGACAAACAAAAGTTCATATAAGAGATATACCTTTAATCTACAATGAAAAGACCAGAATTAAATAAGCAGTAAGGATACCAATACCCCTACAAGGGCCAAACATCTAAATGCTTTTGCTTTTCCCTGTTGATGCTTTAGCTTTTCTCCCTTTAAATACCCTTCTGAGTATGTTGTTCACAAAAGTTTGAGAGAGTTTCAGACAAGAAGATTGCAAGAACAAAGCAAAGGTCCAGGTATTCTCCTTTCTTATGTGTTAATTTACAAGAATTTTCTATGCAATCCATTGTTTTTTGTGTATGCTTTTTAAATTGAACCTTGATTGTGACTTTCGCACTTGATGAATTTGGGATTGGGTAAGAACAGGAAGCGAACCCAGATATAATAATGGTAGTAAATGATGATGAGAGAGATATTAAAATGACTACAATATTGTTTTAATTTGGAATTAATTGATCTGCTAAGTTGAAAAACTCAAGCTAATAACAAATTGGTCATGCTAATTAGTTTTAAAGAATAACAAACTTAATAGATTTTTTTTTTCAATCTTTTCCAACCAAACTAAATAAAGACAAAATTGAATATCATTCTTTACAAATAGCCTTAAATTCTGTTCCTATCATCATGTTGAAAATTCCACAAGTTTATCTGTAATTTCATTTTAGATTATGAGACTGGCTATTTTTACCAGTTACATCATAGTTTAGGGGCCAAAGCTAATACAATTTGACTCGACTAAAGGAATCGAGGTTGGATAGTTAGTTGCTGGATTATACATGTCTTCCATACCGGAAAATCAACATAATTTTAAAACAGTTAGCAGTCATTTCTAAAGTATCCTGGCTTTTGATTTCCTTATTTAGGGCCAGATTATTTTATGAAATCTGTTTCTCCACTCCATGCAAACATTCCTTTCTTACAAAATCTTCCAAAACAAGGTTCAGTGTCAATATCTACACCATAATCTGTTTGTTTGTTTTTTTTAAACGGAAAAAAATGCAGGAGGATATTTAATTTTTTTTTTTTAATAACAATATTTTCCCTTAGATTCACGTTAGATTATGATATGAAATCTTTATACAAATCACATAGATGAACTATTTATGCTAACAACCTTACTCCAGTATTCCAATTAAAAATAATGATAATCCCAACCATCAATACTCTTCTTTTTCGGTATTTACAATTCATAGTATATCAAATAAGTAGTGTGAGTGTGTGAGATAAAAACCTATTTTCCCACATGAGGAGAGAGATCTTAAATACAAATGTTTTTAATTTCATCCGTGATGTTTTTAATTATCAAGAGAAGACTTGGAAAATACAAACTAAAAAACTTTATTATAGGTAATATGAAAAAAAAAGGTTGTTATTCTTTTTTCTAGTTCAATGAAAAAGTGATGACCTATTCATACTATATTATTAGTATATTACCTTATATAACCGTTTAAGATATGCAATTTTTAATGATTATTAAACTTTAATAACCAAATTAAAAGTTATATCATTTACATTAATTTTTTTTTCCTAAATAAAGATGAGTTGTAAAAGACGAACCAGGAAAACAATAACAAATTGATGGAGGAAAGTCATAAAAGAAAATTATTCCAATTTTTGTTTTTTCAATTTCATCTTTGATTAATTTATTTTAATTATAGGTTTCTTGGCAAAAGGATAGATCTATTAATAAACACTTAGATGTGGTTGCAAATCACGGGGATTTAATTATAATAATATAATTCTCAAAACTTTATTATAAGTGTGAAACCGAAGAATATGCATTAAATAATAATAAATTCAGGGACCAAATTTACCAGCAGGGAAAAGATTCTAATGTTGTAGGTGTATGGATTCTAATGTTGTAGGTGACATACAGAGCATTGGGTGTGGGTAACTGGATGTAACACCAAATTGGTGCCATCTCATCCATAACACCACCATAACACCAAGGGGGAAATGGTGTTCCACATGTTATATCATGTTAAGAGGTAGAGAGAAAAAATAGAGAAAATTATTTGATTGGTTGATGAAGGAGATAGCCAATCATCTTTCTTGTTTTTATCTTGTCCTCGTTACCACAAGATGCAACATAACGAGCTTCAACGAGTTGGGGGGGGGGGGGGTGTTCCACGCGTCGTGACGCCGTTTTTGTGTGCCAACTCAACCAATTCGTTTCTCGTTGTGACCCACACCGTATACTCTAAGATTTTGAGTTCCAGTTTTTGTTTTCAATCTGCGCTTTCTCTTATTTATGCTACATGAAAGGGTTATTTGGGATTGATTATTTAAAGGTGCTTATTAATTATTGCGGTTTGACATTGCTGATAAATAAATTTTATTTTTGGGTAGATTAAAAGTAAAAGTGCTTATGTACATAAATAAAATGTTTTTGATAAGTTAGTGGTTCTAACTTATATTAAATAGCTTAGGACTTAATTTAACAAAGTTACCATATTAACCCTATAGTAACTATATATGTCTATATATTCGTCCGTATTGGTCATTTTACATCTATAAACATAATAAATTGTCAAACACTAAAAAACAACTTGTCAACTTATTATTTTGATACTGAATAAGCTAATCCAATTTTTTTTAAACTTTGTTTTGACACCGGAAAAGCTGATAAATACTTTTACAAATAAGGATAAGTTGTTTTAAATAAGCAATCCAAAACACCCCGGCTAAAACTGATTCTTGGACATCGTTGTTAAATCCTTCTTTACAATTTCATCCTAATTATTGTTTTGGCTTCCACATGTTCCACAACATTAATAATACTGATATAAATTTTCTTTAAAGTTGGCAGAAAGTTTATTGTAAAATTCATCTTTGATTACTAAATGTATTTTTCTACACATTACACCATCTGTCTATTCCAACCTTACTCAATGAAATAAATCTAGGATGCATGTAATTGTTATAACCATCTTTAAGATTATACCAATCAAAAACTATTTTGTTGTATTTTATGGATTACATCATCGGTCCTTACTGAATGCAATGGAAATCTAGAGTACATGCAATTGCTACATTCATTATTAATTTCCATTGAATTGTGTTTGATCAATTGTTGAGTACTATGCAGGTGCTACCACAAGAATATCCAGCAATGGAAACAGCTAATGAAATTATGAAACAAGTTGTTCCGATTCTCATGATTCCCATTAACAGATACCTACGTTACCTCATTTTGTACACAAAGTACATGAGAGGCATGGGTATCAAAATCATAGAACTGAATGCTGCAAAAGTTGGTGTTGAAGAGAAAACAAGGCACAACATTAGTAACAATATTGAGGTTCCAGCTCAAGTCAAGGGTTGGTTGGATGATGTAGGAAAGATCAATGCACAAGTGGAAAATGTTCCTAACAATATTGGCAGTTGTTTTAATCTAAAGATTAGACACACAGCCGGAAGGAGTGCTGTCGAGATAAGTGAGGAGATCGACAGTGTCATGAGACGATACAAAGAGATCAATTGGGCTGATCATCCTATTCCTCCAGGAAGGGTTCATTCCATGAAGTCATCTACGTCTACACTATCAACTAAACCTAATGACTTCCAATCAAGAGAGTTGACTTTTACAAAAGCACTCAAAGCACTCGATCCGAACCACAAATCCCATATGATAGCCTTATGTGGGATGGGCGGAGTGGGGAAGACCACAATGATGCAAAGGCTGAAGAAGGTTGCCAAAGAAAAGAGAATATTCAGTTATATCATTGAGGCGGTTATAGGGGAAAAGACAAACCCCATTTCCATTCAGGAAGCTATATCATATTACCTTGGTGTAGAGCTCAATGCAAAAACTAAGTCAGTAAGAGCCGATATGCTTCGTCAAGGGTTCAAGGCCAAATCTGATGGAGGTAAAGATAAATTCTTAATAATACTTGATGATGTCTGGCAGTCAGTTGATTTGGAAGATATTGGTTTAAGTTCTTTTCCAAATCAAGGTGTTAACTTCAAGGTCCTGTTAACATCATGAGACCGACATGTTTGCACTGTGATGGGGGTTGAAGGTCATTCGATTTTTAATGTGGGACTTCTCACAGAAGCAGAATCAAAAAGATTGTTCTGGCAGTTTGTAGAAGGTTCTGATCCCGAGCTCCATAAGATAGGAGAAGATATTGTAAGGAAGTGTTGTGGTCTACCCATTGCCATCAAAACCATGGCATGTACTCTTAGAGATAAAAGCAAGGATTCATGGAAGGATGCACTGTCTCGTTTAGAGCATCATGACATTGAAAATGTTGCCTCTAAAGTTTTTAAAGCGAGCTACGACAATCTCCAAGACGAGGAGACTAAATCCACTTTTTTTCTATGTGGATTGTTTCCAGAAGATTCCAATATTCCTACGGAGGAGTTGGTGAGGTATGGGTGGGGATTGAAATTATTTAAAAAAGTGTATACCATAAGAGAAGCAAGAACTAGGCTCAACACTTGCATTGAGCGGCTCATCTATACAAATTTGTTGATAAAAGTTGATGATTTTCAGTGCATCAAGATGCATGATCTCATCCGTGCTTTTGTTTTGGATATGTTTTCTAAAGTTGAGCATGCTTCGATTGTCAACCATGGTAATACGCTAGAGTGGCCTGCGGATGATATGCACGACTCTTGTAAAAGACTTTCATTAACATGCAAGGGTATATCTGAGTTTTGTGGAGACCTCAAGTTTCCAAACCTAATGATGTTAAGATTTATGGAGTCATGAACAAATTGACAAGTTCCTAAGAGTTCAAGGGCCATAAATGTAACATGACAAATTAAACAATTGAATTGTTTAATATTATTGGACGGTGGAATTGTTTATTCAAAGAAACTTTCGGTGGAATTTTTTGAATGGACGGTGGAAAAGGTGCAAAAGAAAAACGGCCGCAATATTAAACACATTGAAAATTGATATGTGGCTTTTCAAAGTCAAAATTTGCAGCCCTCGTGTGAATTGAAGAAAAGTTTACGGCTTAAAAGGCTATAAATATTCTTCTTCTTTCAATTGAAAATGCAGAGCAAGAAACACAACACAAAGATTTTTTGTATATACACAGAAAGAAATTAGTGAGGTATTATTTTTGTGCAGAGCCTTAATTTTTGGCAGCCAAAAATTATGAGTGATATCTTACAGTGAGTAATCAGATTACAAGGGCAGATTTTAGCCTTGTATGATTGTAATTTTCTTTAGTGTTAATAAAATCCCCTCTCTCTCGTTCGCCCGTGGATGTAGGTCAGATTAGACCGAACCACGTTAAATATCGTGTTCAATTTCGTTTGCAATTTTTCAGTAGTTGTATTCCGTGAGTTTTGCCAAAATCATTATATCAATTTTTCGGAAGTGCTTAACTTGTTTTGTTGCATTCCCGAAAAACTGGTATCAGAGCTATGGCTGAAGATGGGAAAGTTAAGATCGAAAAATTTGATGGTCAAGATTTCGGTTTCTGGAAAATGCAAATTGAAGATTATCTCTACCAGAAGAAATTACACCAACCTTTGTCCAAAGACAAACCCGAAGCGATGACGCAGGAGGAATGGGACTTATTAGATCGGCAGGCACTCGGAGTGATAAGGTTATCATTGGCAAAGAATGTAGCTTACAATATTGTCAATGTGAAGACAACCTACAGTCTGATAAATGCGCTGTCTAATATGTACGAAAAACCTTCAGCGGCAAATAAGGTTTTCTTGATCCGGCAACTTGTAAATCTGAAGATGAAGGAGGGTAGCTCGGTGACAGACCACGTGAACGAATTCAACTCAATAATATCAAGATTGATATCTGTTGATATTGGATTTGAAGATGAGGTCATGGCGTTGCTACTATTATCATCGTTACCCGATAGTTGGTCCGGCACAGTAACGGCCGTTAGCAGTTCAGCCGGAGGTGCCAAGCTATCATTCGAAGGTATTCGCGATTTAATCCTTGGTGAGGATGTGCGCAGAAGAAGTGCCGGAGAAGCTTCCAGTAGTCTTCTAAGTACTGAAGACAGAGGAAGAAAGACCAACAGAGGAAGTGGTGGTAGAGGAAGATCGAAGTCAAGAAAGAGAGGTCAGTCGAAGAACAGGAAAGATATTACCTGTTGGAACTGTAATGAGAAAGGTCATTTCAGAAATCAGTGCTCAAAGCCTTCGGCAGACAAAGGCAAGAAGGAAGTAAATATGGCAGCAGATTCTGAAGATGATGCACTCATTTGTTGTGTTGAAAACTCAACTGAATCCTGGATCATGGATTCTGGTGCGTCGTTTCATGCTAGTCATTCCAGAGAAGTAATGCATAATTTTAAGCAGTACAAAGGAAAAGTCAGATTAGCAGATAACAAGAGCCTGGATATTACTGGAGTTGGGGATGTGGTCCTCAAGACAACTTTGGGTACGAAGTGGACTTTGAAGAATGTCAAGTTCATTCCAGACTTGAAGAGGATGTTAATATCTGTGGGGCAGCTTGATGATGAAGGTCACCATGTTACATTTGGTGATCATCAGTGGAAAGTGACAAAGGGAAACTTAGTTGTTGCTAGAGGTCAGAAGCGGGGTACACTTTATATGGTGGAAGTTTCTGATGCTGAAACACATGCTGTTGAAGAAGTTGGGGCATCTACTCTATGGCACCAAAGACTTGGCCATATGAGTGAGAAAGGAATGAAGATGCTAGCCTCCAAAGGAAGAATACCAGATCTAAAGACTGTAACAGTTGATTTCTGTGAGCCATGTGTTCTTGGTAAACAGAAGAAAGTTACTTTCGTGAAGACTGGTCATCCACCCAAGTCCGGGAAGTTGGAGCTAGTACATTCAGATGTTTATGGTCCCACTACAGTTTCTTCAGTGGGAGGATCCCGATATTATGTTACTTTCATTGACGACTGCACAAGGAAAGTTTGGGTTTATTTCTTGAAGCATAAGTCTGAAGTTTTCAGCACATTCAAGAAATGGAAAGCTATTGTAGAGAATGAAACAAACTTGAAAATCAAGTGTTTCAGATCAGACAATGGGGGCGAATACAGTAGCAAAGAATTTGTTGATTATTGTGCTGACCAAGGAATCAGAATGCAAAAGACGGTTCCGGAGACACCTTAGCAAAATAGAGTAGCTGAGAGGATGAACAGAACATTGAACGAGAGGGCTAAAAGCATGAGACTGCATGCAGGTTTACCCAAGATGTTCTGGGCAGATTCGGTCAACACAGCTGCATATTTAATCAACAGAGGACCCTCAGTTCCCATAGGGTTCAAGATTCCAGAAGAGGAATGGCAAGGTCGGGAGATTTCGCTCAAACACTTGAAGGTATTTGGTTGTGTCTCGTATGTTAAAGTTAAAGACTCGGAGAGAGACAAGCTAGAGGCAAAGGCAAGGAAGTGCACCTTTATAGGTTACGGGTTGGATGACATGGGGTACCGCTTCTGGGATAATGAGAATAAGAAAGTTATCAGAAGTCGGGATGTGGTGTTCAACGAAAATGCTCTATACAAGGATGAACTTGCAAAAAGCTCCAATGGTGACAAGCAACCAGAAAAGAAGGATCAAGTTGAGTTAGAAGAAATCTCAGACGATGACGTTGTAAAACCTATTAGTACTCCAGAGATAGGTGAAAGTTCAGGAAGCAGTGGGAGCTCCGATGTATCTGGAGATAGTGGGAGCAGAGTGGATAGTAGTTCAGAAGATGAGGTTGCAGATGATGCAGAAACCGAAACTCCTATTATTCGTAGATCCACTAGAGCACGAAGACCTCCAGTAAGGTATTCTCCTTCAGCTAATTACTTGCTGTTGACTGAGAATGGTGAACCTGAATCTTATCCAGAGGCCTTAAGGATGAAAGATTCCATACAGTGGAAGACGGCTATGGAAGACGAGTTGAGCTCACTTGATAAGAACCATACTTGGTCCTTGGTCAAGCTCCCGGCAGGGAAGAAAGCACTGCAGAACAAATGGGTGTTTCGGGTCAAAGATGAGATTGATGGCAGTAAAAGATACAAGGCCAGATTGGTAGTAAAGGGTTTCCAACAAAAGAGGGGTGTTGAATACAACGAGATATTCTCCCCAGTTGTGAAGATGACTACAATCAGAATGGTCTTGGGAATTGTAGCCTCTGAAGATCTCCATCTAGAGCAGCTAGATGTGAAGACAGCTTTTCTCCATGGTGACCTGGAAGAAGACATCTACATGGCACAACCAGAGGGTTTCCCAACAGTTGGCAAGGAAAACCTGGTGTGCAAATTAAAGAAAAGTCTGTATGGATTGAAGCAAGCTCCAAGACAGTGGTACTTGAAGTTTGATAGCTTCATGCAGAGGAGTGGGTATCACAGATGTGAAATGGATCACTGTTGTTACTTGAAGAAATTCAACTCCTCATACATCATCCTGTTATTATATGTTGATGACATGTTGATAGCTGGGTCCGACATGCAGGAAATCAACAAGCTTAAGAAGCAGTTGTCCAGAGAGTTCGAGATGAAGGACCTAGGGGCTGCTAAGCAGATATTGGGCATGAGCATAGCCAAGAACAGAGTTACCGGTACATTAAAACTTTCACAAGCTAAGTACATCAAGAAAGTTTTAGAAAAGTTCAACATGGCAGATGCTAAAGCCAGAAGTACACCTTTGGGAAGTCAGTTGAGACTCTCAAAGAAGCAATCCCCAAAGACGGAAGAAGACAAGAACTAGATGACTAAAGTTCCCTATGCATCTGCAGTTGGTAGCTTAATGTATGCTATGGTATGCACCAGACCAGACATTGCTCATGCAGTGGGAGTTGTGAGCAGGTTCATGTCAAATCCAGGAAAAGAGCATTGGGAGGGAGTAAAGTGGTTGTTACGCTACTTGAAAGGAACATCTGAGGTTGCCCTATGTTTCAGAAGAAAGGGTGTGATCTTGGAAGGGTTCGCCGATGCTGATTTGGGTGGATGTGTGGATTCAGGAAAGAGCACAACAGGTTATGTGTTCACAATTGGAGGTACATCAATCAGTTGGATGTCCAGGTTACAAAAGAGTGTTGCTCTCTCAACCACATAAGCAGAGTATATGGCTATTGCAGAAGCAGCCAAAGAGCTTATATGGTTGAAGAACTTTCTATCAGAACTTGGAATGTATCAGGAGGATTGTGTATTGCATTGTGACAACCAGAGTGCAGTTTACTTGGCAAAGAATCCAGTGTTTCATAGTAGAACGAAACACATTCAGATGAGGTACCATTTTATTCGAGAATTAATTAATGATGGAACTCTAAATCTGAAGAAAATCATTGGAACGAAGAATCCAGCAGATATGTTCACCAAGGTGGTTACCACTGAAAAGTTGAAGCTTTGTATGGCTTCAACTGGCCTTTCAGAAGTTTGAGCAAAGGCATGGCAGAGAACGACAGAGAGAGAGAGAGTATGTGATTAAGAAACGTCACAAGTTTTGGATGACAGAGAAAAGCCAAGTTGTTCAAGCCTCCAAGTGGGAGATTGTTAAGATTTATGGAGTCATGAACAAATTGACAAGTTCCTAAGAATTCAAGGGCCATAAATGTAACTTGACAAATTAAACAATTGAATTGTTTAATATTATTGGACGGTGGAATTGTTTATTCAAAGAAACTTTCGGTGGAATTTTTTGAATGGACGGTGGAAAAGGTGCAAAAGAAAAACGGCCGCAATATTAAACACATTGAAAATTGATATGTGGCTTTTCAAAGTCAAAATTTGCAGCCCTCGTGTGAATTGAAGAAAAGTTTACGGCTTAAAAGGCTATAAATATTCTTCTTCTTTCAATTGAAAATGCAGAGCAAGAAACACAACACAAAGATTTTTTGTATATACACAGAAAGAAATTAGTGAGGTATTATTTTTGTGCAGAGCCTTAATTTTTGGCAGCCAAAAATTATGAGTGATATCTTACAGTGAGTAATCAGATTACAAGGGCAGATTTTAGCCTTGTATGATTGTAATTTTCTTTAGTGTTAATAAAATCCCCTCTCTCTCGTTCGCCCGTGGATGTAGGTCAGATTAGACCGAACCACGTTAAATATCGTGTTCAATTTCGTTTGCAATTTTTCAGTAGTTGTATTCCGCGAGTTTTGCCAAAATCATTATATCAATTTTTCGGAAGTGCTTAACTTGTTTTGTTGCATTCCCGACAAATGATTTTAGAACTTATGCATGGAGATAAGTCTCTAAGGTTTCCTCAAAACTTTTATGAAGGAATGGAAAAACTTCAGGTTATATCATACGATAAAATGAAGTATCCATTGCTTCCCTCATCATCTCAATGCTCAACCAACCTCCGAGTGCTTCACCTCCATGGATGTTCAATACAAATGTTTGATTTCTCTTGTATCGGAAATCTGTTAAACCTGGAAGTGCTCAGCTTTGCTGATTCTTGCATCCAAATGTTACCTTCCACAATCGGAAATCTGAAGAAGTTAAGGGTACTTGATCTGAGAGGTAGTGACGATCTTCGTATAGAACAGGGTATCTTGAAAAACTTAGTCAAACTGGAAGAGCTGTATATGGGATTTTATGATGAATTTGGACATCGAGGTAAGGGTATATACAACATGACAGATGATAACTACAATGAAATAGCAGAACGTTCAAAAGGTCTTTCTGCATTAGAAATTGAGTTCTTTCGAAACAATGCCCAACCAAAGAATATGTCGTTTGAAAAACTTGAGAAATTCAAGATCTCAGTGGGACGACGTTATTTATATGGAGATTACATGAAGCACATGTACGCTGTCCAAAACACATTGAAGTTGGTTACTAAGAAAGGTGAATTATTGGACTCTAGACTGAACGAGTTGTTTGTGAAAACGGAGATGCTTTGTTTAAGTGTTGATGATATGAATGATCTTGGTGATCTTGATGTGAAGTCCTCACGTTTTCCTCAACCCTCCTCATTCAAAATTCTAAGAGTCCTTGTCGTTTCCAAGTGTGCTGAATTGAGATACCTTTTCACAATTGGTGTAGCCAAAGATTTGTCAAATCTAGAGCATCTTGAAGTTGATTCATGTGATAATATGGAAGAACTCATCTGTAGTGAGAATGCTGGAAAAAAGACAATTACATTCTTAAAGCTGAAAGTTTTATGTTTGTTTGGGCTACCAAAGCTATCGGGTTTGTGCCATAATGTGAACAGAATTGAGTTATTACAACTCGTGGAGTTGAAACTTAGCAGAATTGGAAATGTCACAAGCATTTATCCCAAGAATAAGCTGGAAACATCCTGTTTTTTGAAGGCAGAGGTAAATATGGTTTATGATGATACAGTTCAAATGATCATTTCAATTAAAAGTTTTTAAAAAGTTGTTTGTAAGCATTGTTTGGATGAGGCTATTAATGGATGATATATTATTATGCAGGTTCTAGTTCCTAAGTTGGAGAAATTGTCTATTATTCATATGGATAATTTGAAGGAGATATGGCCTTGTGACTTTAGGACGAGTGATGAAGTTAATCTGAGAGAGATTTATGTGAATAGTTGCGATAAACTTATGAATTTGTTTCCGTGCAATCCCATGCCTCTGCTACATCATCTTCAAGAGCTTCAAGTCAAGTGGTGTGGTTCCATTGAAGTCTTATGCAACATCGATTTGGATTGTGCTGGTGAAATTGGAGAAGAAGGCATCAAAACCAACTTGAGAAGCGTTGAAGTAGACTGTTTAGGGAAGCTAAGAGAGGTGTGGAGGATAAAAGGTGATCAAGTTAACTCTGGTGTCAACATCTGTAGCTTTCAAGCTGTTGAAAAAATATTGGTTAAAGAATGTAAGAGGTTCGGAAATGTATTCACACCTACCGGCGCCAATTTTGATCTGGGGGCACTTATGGACATTTCGATCGAAGATTGCGGAGGAGAAAGAGGGATATTCAATGAATCGGAAAAGAGTAGCCAAGAGGAAAAGCAAGAGGTATGTATGGATTTCAATCTCAGTTTATGTTTAATTAAGATTTGGTTTGACACATCCCCTTAATCTTTTTGTTTTTTCCTTTTGACCTGTCAAGACCTCATCAAATAACAAGCTCACACGACATGCATCCACTAATCGACATCAAAGAGATAAGCGGTTAAACAATTACAAAAAATGAGAGTTAGAAAAACAACATTATTAACCCATAAGCTAATGTATATTATTATTAACAACATGTCATTTATAAAATGTAACATATCCTTTTTATTATAAACAATTACAGTAAATGTTTTTTAAAATATAATAAATACATAAAATGCAACGCACGTAACTTCCCATTAATAAAAGTTTCTATTTACACATCATTTATAAAATGTATCTAACTATTTTTTTTATTATTATAATTTAACTAGATGCCCCTCCCAAATTCATATTCCGATGTCCGCTTGGCAGGGGGTGTAATCTGTAGTTTTATATTAAACATGAAACATTTTTCTATTTTTTTGAAATACATAGGCTATTTTCCGTAAAAAAAAAATCTAATCTTCTTAAGGACCTTTTCTATAAATTACAAGGACAATTTTTTAATTAGTTTTCTATACACAAAACTACTAACATACGAAACTATTATAGCCAAAGTCTAAAACCTAAAACTATTGTGGCAAAAATCTAAAAGCCAAAAGTATATTATTCATGACGAAGTTGCTTTTTATTGTATATAATAATGTGGCTAATTTAACAAGTTTAATAACTAAAAATGTCAACATAAAAAATAATATTTGTAATAAAAAAATACAAAAGCACTGTATTTTTTTAATGAATACATATAAATAAAAAAATATAAATTATATCGAAAAGAAATTTTTTTGTAATGACTTGAGAATTTACAAACAATATTGGGTATATTTTAAAGATTTTACAAATTATGTGTGTAGCAATAATAATAAAAATTGCTTTGCAGTCATTTATAGTAATATTTCAACTGATCTATTGTTAATATTAAATTCGAAAATGGTTTCTAGTTGTTAGTAATGTTGTTTTCTTAATATTTATGCCAAATTAAGTTCGAATTCGTTGTCCCTTAACCTTGCAAAAAGAGCGATATTTGAAAATAAATAAATATATTTTTACGTTGTAAGAGAAGATGAAATAATATTTACCAACCTTAACCACCCTTTAATTTGGTGCTTTGCTTCTTATAATTAAATTAAGCACTACAGTTTGGCCCTATTTGATAAAATAATAATAATAATAATAATAATAAGCTAGCTTATTATAATTTAGCGTTTGATAAAATAATATAAAAGTAGTTTATCATAGTTTATAAAATATCTTATAAGCTAGCTTATTGATAAGTCAGATTATAAGCTAAAAACTAGTTTTTCATCTAGTTTGCCGAAATAAAGCCTTTTTTTTCTTGTTATAAAGCCCTTCACATCTTAATTAATTTGATTCTTTTGGGCCCCTAAATTTTTTATCATTTATTATTTAAGCACAGCTGTAAAATTTGATTTTTGATTTTTGCCACTCATATGCCATACTTTTGTTACAACTAATTATTAAAATCCCTTTACTTGAAAAGGAGATATCATCCATAATTCCCAAATATTCCTTGAAATTTTACCTAAATTCAGAATAATCGAACTCAAATCCAGAATTATAAAGTTGAATTGTAAACGAATGTGCAATTATATATTTATATATCATTAATACAACTCAGTTTTAACCAATTGAAGCTACTAATAGTCTTTAATTGGAATATATGTACGTACAGATTGGTATTTCATTCCTATCGTGTCTCATACACTCTTCCCATAACCTCCACAAACTCAAATTGATGAAATGTCAAGGAGTGGATGTGGTGTTTGAGATAGATCGTCCAACAAGTAAAGAATTGGTAACAACTCACCATAATCAACAAACAATACTTCCCTACCTTGAGGATCTATATCTTCGTTATATGAACAACATGAGTCATGTGTGGAAGTGCAACGGGAATAAATTCGTCACTCTTCCAAAAGAACAATCAGAATCCCCATTCTACAACCTCTCAACCATATACATGTATGGGTGCAGAAGCATTAAGTACTTGTTTTCACCACTCATGGCAAAACTTCTTTCCAACCTAAAGAAAGTCCATATAGAGTTTTGTGATGGTATTGAAGAAGTTGTTTCAAACGGAGATGATAAGGACGAAGAAATGACTATATTTACCAACACAAGCACCATCTGTTTCCCTCATCTTGATTCTCTCCATCTTAGTAGCTTAAAAACTCTCAAGCATATTGGTGGTGGTGGTGGTGCGAAATTTCGAAACAATGAATTATCTTTTGACAATACCATTATAACTACCACCCTTGATCAATCTAAGGTATGTATTCTACATATTCAATAACAAATTTAATTTCCTTTTAATATCTATTTTTCGTTGCAATATTCTAGAAAAAATATTGACATCACATCCAAGAGTTTGGCATTTTTCATTTGTATGAAATTGACATACTATTGTTATTTTGATGATTCAAAAATATAATAAGTAATTTTTTTATTTATCCAATCGTCTACTAATAAGATTTGTTTTTCTAATTAGATGATGCTCATCCTTCTAACCATTGTTATTTTGATGATGCTCTCCCTTCTAACCATTTGTTATTTCGTGTATATAGCACCTTAATTTTTGTAACATAATTAACCATAATGATAATGATAAAATCCTAACATGTTAACAAGGTCAACCATAATAATCCCGATAAAGCCTAATTGCCAAGGTATTTATGAAGCACTATCAGTTATATGCTAATAGAATAATAGTTTATGTATTTATCAAGTACTATCAGTTATATGCTAATAGAATGAATGAGATCAAATATCATGTGATACAAAACAAAATTTTTTGTATAAGGAACCACAAAATTCACATGACCTAGTAGTCTTGAGGGTTGTTCACAACAACAAAAACCCATAACAAATTTGCGTCATGAAAAAACTGCCGCCAAGTAAACAACATAACCCTGTCTATAGGACCATAAATACTAACACCTAACCACCATCCAATCTACTAGCTAGAACACAAGATTACCGAATCCAATGAAGCTTTCGCTCCCCAGAAAAACGAGTTCTCAAAACTGAGTTCTCAAAACTTCTGGATCTTTAAGAAGTAGAATAGGAAAATCAAACACATACATGTAATATGAACCCAAAGTACCAAGGACATACCTAAGAATAGTAAGCCTACCTCCAATAGAGATGGTCTTCGACTTCCAGATAGTATAGAAGTGAACCTATCCAATAAACATTGCCAAGCATTAATCAGAGATATCGAATCACCAACAGGAAGACCCAAATAAATGAATGAAATACGAGTAGCCACACAACCAACCCACATTACCACCTCCTCCAGCTACGAAAAAGGAACTCCCCATCAATTAATTTGTTTTCCAACATATTAAGCTTAATCCCTGATCACCGTAAAACGCACAATACACCTACCATTCTCCAGAGACCAATCACAAAGTAGAACTACATTATCTGTATAAAAAAATGAGAAACCTCTATTAGCCATCTTAATTAGCTTGATGCAAAACCACATTCAAGCCTTCCATAGAAAGGATGAATAAGAAAGGGGATATATATATATATATATATATATATATATATATATATATATATATATATATATATATATATATATATATATATATATATATATATTTGAACAGCTCAGAAAATATCATTAAAAAAAAGTGCCAACTCTGCGAGAGGCTAGAGCATACAAACAGCAAGAGAGAAAATTACAAGTTAAAAAAATAATTATTAAGATAATAATATCAAACCCGTTAAAAAAATAATAATAATATCAACTATCAACATAATAAATAGCTATGATTCGACTAAATGTTCAGTTGATTGCATTGCATTCTAGTTATTTATTTTATTTTATTTAATGCATAAACACCAAATGCATTAATGTTACTTATTTTTTATTTTTATTTATTTATTTATTTATTTATTTTTTTTGAAACAGCAAATAATTTAAATATCTCCTCTGCCTGGGATTGAACCCAGGACCTCGTAGTTAGTTGTTAGTTAGATTAGAAATCTTTAATTAATGTTACTTATAATCTACAAAGAAAAATTATATATACCATCAATCACTAGCTAGCAAACAATAATTTGGCATACCATGCATTTCCTAAAATCTCTTTCCGCTGCCAATGATGGTTCATCTTTTTCATTTCTAAATTGCGCAATCTTGAAAAGAGGCCCCGGCCTTAACTTTCAGTTCTACTTTGAACCTATCTTCAACCTAGCTTATAATGCTTGATATTTAGCTTTTTTTTCAAATAGAAAAAATGATTCCTCATTTGTTTATGTATCTCTTTATATTAAACTGTTCAATTACTACATCTATGATGTATCCTTTGTTGTTTTTTTTAACAAGCATTTTAAACGCTTTTTCATTTAAAAAAAAAACTGCATTTAATTTGTTAAGTTGGACTATTTTTTTATAGCTATAATTTCAACGAATTACATGTTTAGATTTTGATGGATATGATAATAAATTTTTTCTTAAAATACGAGCTATATAAAGTTTGTTGCGATGAACATGTGCTTTTTCAACCTTGTTGATCATCATGGTTGAATTTTTAGGATGCAGGGTCGTATGCCATTTATTTTATCTTCAATAGATCTGCTTATTAAAAAAAATAGAGTATATTATTTTAATGTGGCGAGGAGTCTTGTCATTCGTTGTAAAAACTAAAAACCAAATGTGAAATTATATTCCTTATATAAATAATAGTAGTAAAGTAGTGTATATGTATGTATGTATAGCAGGGGTGGTAACAATTAAACAATTGAACTTTGTTTAGCATATATATAGTTTAATTTTGCATGTGTTGTTGCAGCTGTCTTCTGAAGCAGTTGGAGTTTTTTGGAGCTTATGCCAATACTCTAGAGAGATAGAAATATCACGGTGTAATGCATTGTCAAGTGTGATTCCATGTTATGCAGCAGGACAAAGGCAAAAGCTTCGACTGCTGAAAATAAAGTTTTGCAATGGGAGGAAGGAGGTATTTGAAACTCAAGAGACGAGCAGCAACAAAAGTGGTTGTGATGAAGGTAAAGGTGGTACACCAACACCAGCAATTCCAAGAATAAATGATGCTATTATCCCTAAACTTCCATACCTAAAGATATTGGAAATCGTAAGTTGTGAGGGTTTGGAACATATATTCACATTCTCTGCACTTGAAAGCCTCAGACATCTCAAAAAGTTAAAGATATGGAATTGCAAGGCAATGAAAGTGATTGTGAAGAGGGAAGAAGATGTATCACCATCATCATCAAAGAAGGTTGTGGTCTTTCCTCGTCTGAAATCTATTGTACTAAAAGCTCTACCAGAGCTGGTGGGTTTCTTCTTGGGGATGAATGAGTTCCGGTGGCCATTATTGGATGATGTTGTGATCGAGAAATGCCCACAAATGATAGTGTTTGCATCTGGTGGGTCCACAGCTCCCAAACTCAAGTCTATAAAAACAACCTTTGGTATATATAGTGTTGATCAACATGGACTGAACTTTCAGGTATAACTTTTTCTTTATTATTCTTACCGCCTCATCCAATTAAGTAAAAATGTTTTAATTAATTCATTTAAACAACGTTACATATGGATAACTAATTGCTTTATGAGATCAAAATTCGAATTTTTCTGTTTGGGGTAAGTAATTGGCATGGTCATCTTTAATAATAATTATAATCACCTCATTGATATTTGTTATTACTCTTACAATTTCGTTATATTTATGGCATATGACATTTCACATTCATGGTGTTTGTTTCTTTGTTGAACTTGCAGACCACATTCCCTCCTACTTCAGAAAGGACACCTTGGTCTTTTCATAAGTTGATTGAATTAGATGTGAAACATAGTCATGATGTTAAAAAGATTATTCCATCCAGTGAGTTGCTGCAACAGCAAAAGCTGGAAAAGATTCGTGTGAGTGGTTGTAAGATGGTAGAGGAGGTATTTGAAGGCATTGGAAGAATCAAGGAGAAATATAAATAGTAGTAGCGGACGTGGTTTTGATGCATCGTCACAAACTACTACTACTCTTATCAATCCTCCAAACCTAACACAACTGGAGTTAGTGGGGTTAGATCGTTTAAGGAATCTATGGAAGAGAAATCAATGGACAGTGTTTGAGTTTCCAAACCTAACAAGAGTTGAAATTAGTGAATGCGATAGGTTAGAACATAGGAAGTGATTCGTACACAACAATTTTTTATCATACACAACAATTTGTGCATTATAGAGTTGTACAATACAACACTTTAAAACACAAATTGTTGTGTATGGAGAAAAAGTGTTGTGTACGAATCAGTTCCCTTAGAACATGTGTTTACTAGTTCCATGGTTGGTAGTCTATTGCAACTCCAAGAGCTATGTATAAAGGACTGCGGGCATATGGAGGAGGTCATTGTTGTAAAAGCAGAAGAAGAATCTGATGACAAGATGAATGAGATACTTGTGTTACCTCGTCTAAACTCCTTAACACTTAAAAGCCTTCCACGTCTTAAGGGGTTTAGCATGGGAAAGGAGGATTTTTCATTACCCTTATTAGATTCTTTGGCAATCAGCTACCGCCCAGCAATGACGACTTTCACCAAGGGAAATTCCACTACTCCACAGCTAAAAGAAATAGAAATAAATTACAACTCGTTTTATGCAGGGGAAGACATCAACTCCTTTATAAAGATGAACAAGAGGTAAACTAGATCTTTCTTCCTTTAATAATTCGTAAACTACATATGAAAAGTTTTTTTTGATACTGTGAAAATCTGCTACCAATATTTACAAACTTAATTATGTAATTTATGCAGGAATTCAGAAAAGAGAAAGACTGATTAAAGTCAAGTGAATATTAAAGGTAAATTCTATTTCCAATCACTTAATTGCCTATTAATGGCCTTTTAATTCATGATTTTTGGATGTCTTCTTCATGATGATGTTAATGTTCTAATACCCCCATTGATTGTAGTGTTAGCCATCTAAACCAAAGGACTATGCCACCGATATTCAAGGGAAAAATTGTTGGTCATCTAAATAAGATTTGAAGAAGAACACGGTTGCTATGAAGATGTTCAAGAATGAGGAAAAAATGTGTAAAACTAATAACAAGATACATATTGATTTAAGTTTGTTAGTTGAAGATATTAATTTTAATATTTAAAAATTTGTTGGCATCATTACGTGGGTTTACGAGTGTTAATGCGATGATGAGTGACTTAAGCAAGATTATGTTGTAGTAGATGTTGGACTCAAGTACAGAAAAATAGCAATTGCTTGTGAAAAATATATGCAAAATACAATAGTGAAATACTGGAAACTTAAATGATAAGATTAAATTTTTTAATGAAAATATTACAAAACTATGAGTTTTTTTTTTTTTTTTTTTTTTTTTTTTTTTGGTAAAAGCACTTCAGATGTATTAACTAGATGGAATATGTGCAAAAAAATGCACAAAGGCAGCGAAACCACAATAAGAAACATATTTGAAATGAGGATCACAAATCCGTACAGTTTGCAACCTGATTGGTACATTTTATTTATTTTTTCTAGAGTTTATATAAGCATATTTTTTCTTTTATTTTTTGTTAATCTTCATGCATATTTTACTTTTTGTTGTTATATATTTATTTTCAGGTACTTTCTAGTCTTTGTGTTTAATTTTATATTTTTCGAAGACTATTACGAGTGAGGATGATCGAGGGATTAGTGGGATTATTGATTATTCAAGATCCGATGATATGGGTTTTGGAGAGTTGATGGAGATGATCTTGGGCTAGTATCGGGCTTCTTAGATGCATTATGGACCTCATAACTCATATATTTATGGTGGTGGCAAGCTCAAACAAAGCAACAAGGAATGCACTACAAGAAAAATAGACATCTATGACTAAACGATCAAAGATCGGTTAATAGATACCATGTATTTGGACTGATGATAATATATCTACAACTAATTTTCATGTTTGAATAAAGAGAGACTAATTAGACTTATTTGAGACTAAAATTAAGTGTCTAATACATTTATGCTAGTTTAGGTTTGCAGGGAAACATATTTAGCATTGCCACTATTATCGTCGTCGGTAATAGCTAAAGTCCATTTCATCCCCTTGTCGACGTTATGCTTTCTCACTATCACTCCCACTTCTCTTCTCCGGCAATTACGACTCCACTTTGACCATTTAGAATGCTTAAGGCCATTCACCAGTTCCTAGCCGAGTAGACCGACAGGAACACCACCGGGGTTTTTATACTGGCGATTTTGGGGCGTTTACCGGCCATTTTGGGACGTTTACCGGCAACTATAGGTGTGTTTTCGATGACCCTTCGACCACAAAACCGCCGCAGGTAAGTAATTTCTCGTCCCTCCTGTCGGTTTTTCTCTTACGAAGTGTGTCCATTCTAAGATAATTTTTTTTGTGATCAAGAAATCCACAAACAGCCATTGTTACTGCTGCTACGGCGAGGCCACCGCCATTGCATATTTTTCCGGCATAAACACCACCATAGGTGCTTATAATTTCGATTTCAGGTTAGTGATTCTCTTTGGTATGCAAATAGATGGTATTTAGGATGCAAACATATGGTATTTGAGCTAAAACATATGGTATGCAAACTTTTTTGACCTAAAATAATTATAGAATTACTTTGGTCATATTCAAGGTTATGATAAGAAATCTAACGATTATTACATAAATTTGATAGTATGCAAACATATGGTATTTGGTATTTAGTGTGCAAATTTGTTTAATCCAACAGTTTATATATGTTTATGAGTGCATTTTGTTTATGTTTATGTGTATTTGGTATGCAATCATGTAAGTATGTATGAATGTATGCATATGTGTATTTGTATGTATTGTATATATGTCTATATGTATGATGGATGTATGTGTATTGTGTATATTTGTCTTTGTATGCAATCAAAAATTTATGTGTGTATAATGTATGCATATGTGTATTGGTATATATTGTATATATATGTGTAGGTATGATGGATGTATGTGTATTTGTGTGCAATAAGAATGTATGTATGTAGGATGTATGAATTTTTTATGACTTAATTAGGAAAGCCTCAAAACTACAATGCTATAACTGAAAACAAAAAAAGTAGGATGTTATAAATCATAATGTCATTTAATGCTATAATTAAAAAATAAAAAGTAGGATGCTATAATTCATTTCGTCATGTTAAGTATAATGTATAATTGAAACTTTATTTGGATTCCTAGTTTATGTGTATTTGTAATAGATTTGTATATGTATATCTTATAATTTTGCAGGAAATGGTGTCGATATGGCTCTTATTTTTGTACATCATGGTTGTTGTTATGGGTCGTGGACATGGGGGTGACAGTTGAAAAGTTAGAACAAGTTTATAATAACCCCAACCTATCTGATAACAACAACATAACTTTGGCCTACTTTTACTTTAGATTCATTTCCATCATCTTAATCTTAATTTGGTTGATTTTTGGTATCAATTTGTAACTTGTGGTTTGGTTTCATTCAGGCCCAGATTGACTTAGTTTTGGAGCTACTTTCCAAACTCGTAAGTAAACACATAAGCTACTTGATCATAAAAATCATATATATATATATATATATATATATATATATAAGCTACTTGATCATAAAAATCATAATATATATATATATATATATATATATATATATATATATATATATATATATATATAATGTTTGTCGTTGTGTACAAATATGGAGAATGCCAAAATTTTGGGTTGGATTTCTGACACGTATTTCACAAACACAACCACATTCGTTTCGTGTTTTATTAAAAGTAAGTATGTCCCCTTGTTCACTTTCACTTTCATATTTTGTATTTGATTCTTTTTGGTTTATATTAAGTTATATATGAAATATGATTATTACTTGTTGATAATTACAGTTTCCTTCACCACAACTTGAGGGTGATCTGAACAAGTATGGTAGCCTACGAGGTCCCCTTGCTGCATATTCCAATCAACCTAGTATCAAATACTCCTTGCCTAGGTACCTAACCCTATCTTTCATAAAATTCTAATTAGTAAATATAGAAATAACTTAATAGCAGTGGATTTGTCCTTGTGATATGTGTTTAGGTCAACTCTACAAAGAGGCATGACCCCACCCCACCCTTACTACTTTCCCATAGTAAATATAGTTCGCATCTTATCACATGTTGAGGGTGTCACACCCCCAAACCAAGGATGGCGGAAACGTCCGGGGGTGGAGGACTTCATGTGTAGTATCATAACAACAATTGTAATAGTAATTCAAGCAAACACAACCAACATATATATAATTGAAAAAGTTACATCATTGTATGAATTACATGTTTACGAATCAATTACAATATGTTGACAAAATATGAAATAGTAGACGCCTTAGCGTCCCATCCTCAAAAGCACTTGATTACCTGTTTAATGATTTCCTGAGAATACAAGTTGTTTGAAAAAGTGTCAACACAAAGGTTGGTGAGTTCATAAGCTTTTGTTTGGTATTATTAAAAACCTTTCGTTTGTGAAAGTAGTATTTGTGTTGGAAAATCCAATATTTTCCTTAATGTGTAAATGTAGTCTTAAAACCCAAAGACCGAAATGTACAAGTAATTTGTCATATTTATAGTAAAACAATGCAAGTTTAAATCGACATAAACTCATTAAATTTTAATGAAGTTCCCGTAAATTCCAACGTTTATTAATACTTTATGTGAGTTATTATAACCATGCTATGACCTAGTTGGCCTGAAACGACGTTCTTCAGGCGTCGGAAATGTTATGACATTTGTCACCCCAGACCTGCCGGTCTAGCTGTTGCATGCAGCTTAGGTGTGGGTTTGTCAAACCCAATATAGATCTATACACAAGTATCACGCTCTCCCTCAAGGAGACTCTGGTTACAATACAGGACTTAATGGTAATTTGAAGTAAATGTCTCACGAAGTCATTAACGGAATTACGTGTTATGAAAACTTGGTACCGTATGGCCGTACCTTGCTTAATGAAAATATCCTTTGTATAAATGTACCCTTTTTAAATGTATTTGTTATGTAATGTATCATAAACTATACCTATTATAGTTTATCAACCAAGGGTAGTACGTGGTAATGTATGCAAACTATATTCAAAATAGTTTATTAAATGTTTGAATGTATCGATTGTACTTTGATTATAATCACTTGTTATTCTTTATATTTTATATGACCAAATCCATTTGTAAACTGATGTGTGTCTAAATATTAAGATAAAATGTCATATATTGCAATAACATATAATCACATAAAGATATACACCTTGCTCAACATGTTACAAGGTGAAATGAAATTAACAGCAACTTTTCGTTGAAAAACAGTTTCTGTTACTGTTCTTAGAAAATTTATAAAAAAATCATCAAAGCTCTAAATCCAAATCCGCAAATTTTGAGAGTTTGGAATATGAGTCTAGTTTGTTCGTAAATTTTACCATGATTTTTAGTGATCTCTAACAGAGGTGAAAATGTTCATAATCACAGACTGGTCCGGGTTTGCCTCTGAAATGCCAGACAGTTTTGTAAAAATCACCATAAATTGTAGAAAAATCATATGGAGATGTGCAAGTAGCCATTTTAAAGCTAAGAGTTTGAACTACTTGCACCTGGAACAGTTTTGAAAACTAAAATATTTAAGTTGACCAAAACAGTCCGTGATTAACGTCCATCTTTTCTGATGTAATCTGTTAGAAAAAGTTTAATTGTGTTCTTGATGATTTTACTTGTATTCCCCCCTTAAAACTTAAGAAAAACATGTAAATGTAGGGGTATGAACTCACCTTATGTGATTTCAGTAGATGAAAGTGAGA